CCACATTTGCTTCCAACATCTACCGAAGCCCACTATCAGCAAGATCTTTCGAACACGCTTTCAACTTCAACACGCTGACGAGACAACAACTCGACTTCACCAATTACAGTCGCACTCCGATATACTCAGTCAACAGCAGTAAAGATGAACAACCTGAATCGTCCAATAGTCAAGCACTCGATGTCAACAACTCACACCAAACTGCCAAACAGCTCCAATCATCAAACAACAACGAGATCGACAAACCAATCGTCGACGACGACAACAATCTTCCACAGCAACCACAATCACCACACAACTATACATTCGAAGAACTCTTTGACAATTTAGAAGAACAACCACAACCAAGACAACATAACTCTGACAAATACATCGACAACAAGTTTGAGCACCATCTTCCAAAAATCAACACCGGCAAGCAACCCGATACTGACGACGACGTCAATGACACACCCAAAAACAGTCCCAACATAGAAGAAAAAACAGAGAAGAGTCCACTAAATAACAACAACAATTCACCACCTTCTTCTTACACCAACTTTGCTATTGACCTCGACAACCCCTTGCTACAAATCACCTTAGGACTCCATGGTGACAACCTGACAAAACAACCTCGACAATACCAACATTACTACCAACAGCAAATGGCAGTCACTACCGCCGTCGCCAACATACCTATCGGAAGACACGTCTCTTATCCACTATTTCATGGTCTGAAGTCAGAAGATGCCAAGAAACATGTTGAACAGTTCCGAGAAGCAATCCAAATCAACAGCCAGACGACTGAACTTCCATACTATTTCTGATGTACCCTTTCGAAAGAGAGCCAACAAATGGGCTCAAACGCTTCCTCAAAATACAAGTTTCAACGACCTCGCACTCAAGCTCATAGACCAATTCAAGTCTTCCCTCACTCAATCACAAGATCCAAAAACTCAAGTAGAAGTCTGGTCAATCCATCGACAACTACACTCAAACCTTCACTCAACATGCTAGCAAATGAGGCAACAGTGCCACCGAAACATTACTTTACCAATGGTACATGCAAGGACTCCAACGATCCCTCTGAGAAGCAGCAATGCACATCAACGTTGCCACTTATCTCGAACTCACAAGAGCCCATCAAGATGTTCAAGCTCGACGAATGACAGCACAAGTAGATGACACAGATAACTCAGATTCTGATAGCAGTTCGGACAACAACTCCGAGATGAACTTGGAGAGAGCACCAAGTCAAAACTTCGGAAACTCAAGAAAACAATCGACAAGCTCAAGGGAAAAGCCAAGGCCGACATCAAAGAATTTTGATCTAGAATTTGGTGTACTAAGTGCAAGAACG